TGTCGACGTGCAGTAATGAAATCGATTATCCATTGGACTAAGCATGATGGAGCACCCATATCTAATAATTTTTTCACGACAACAGTGTGATCTACCTGCCTGCCATGCCTTCGAGAAGTCCGTCAACGTCAGAACACTGGCGTTGGCGGACCTCTCGGAGGCACTGACTAACGAGTGGTATACCTCAGTCAAGCAATGTGTGGTAGATATACCTCTCTGGTTTCCAAACTGCCTTCTATCAAGTAAAGGTTCAATACATTTAAGGATGACATTTGAAATTTTGCCTTCGGCAACATTGGCCAGGGTAGGGGTCAAAGAAATAGGTCGAAGTTTTTCTATTACCGGGGGAAATTGTTTAGGTATAGGCACTACATTTGCCTCTTTCCATTGTGTAGGCACTTTACCTTCTTTAAAAGATTTATTAATTAGGTCAGTTATAGGGACAGATAATTCATACGCACATTCTCGAATAACCTTAGGGGGTAGGTTATCAGGCCCTCCAGCCTTTTTAACATTGATTTTACGAAGGTCTTCAAAAATCTCCCAGGTTTGGAAGGTAGGTGGTGGAACAAAACTAGGGAGATAAGCAGGCAAGCCCTCAAGGTTAATTGGCTCCTGGGATTGGGAGAAACTGGCTATAAAGGTGTTAATTGTATTTGCTATTAACATAATGTCATCAAAGGTCATTTGATTTACCCATGTTAGCAAGTTCCTTTAATTCGCTGTGCCACTTCCCAGGATCAGCCTTCCGCAGTGGTCTCACTTTACGTGCTTGGAAGGATTTCTTAACATTTTTAATTTCATATGCTACTTTGTTCCTAAGCCTTTTATAGAGAACCAAATTACCAGTTGCAAAAGCTTTCTGACGGTTCTTTATCAAGTCTTTGATGTGCTGTTTCATCCATGGCTTATCCGTTCTGTGAGATAGTTTTTAATGCTAAGTATTTATCTATAGCATTGTTCACTAACATATAGAAGGCATCGACTTTCGCTTGTGTACTTTTTGCTTGAAGTACCTCTTCCCATGATTGTGCTTGGGCCCATCGTCCG